CCTGAAGCAAAAACTGTACAAAACAAAAATACTGTAAATGTGACAAAAATACATTTTGTATTTACATTCCAACAGTTGAACCTCCTGCCCCCAAGTCTGCTGTTGATTATCTGTTTTCTCTAATCCCAATAAAATTTACTGGTATAATGGCATCTGGCTTGTAATCCAATCCATAGGTTAATATTTCTTTGGTCCCTGTAGAATCTGGTTCCCTGCCATCTTCAGCAATGACAGCATCTAAAGGATGTTATGTTCACTAGAAGACTGTATGTCAACCTTTGGGACCGATCAGCTTCTTGAACAATTGCTTGCAAGCGTTTCCGCATAGATGACAGCGGGCGCTCCCTTGTCTTTCTGACCGTGGCATTGCTCAAGCTCCTTGAATTGTAATACTGTGTACTGGATCCCTTCTGCCCCCTAAAAGACAAAACGGGGAGAGAACAAAAGACAAAGGCCTGTGGGGTCAGTGTATAGCAAACTCCTTCAACCCTCATCAACGTTCCTGCATTTTAGCTCAGGCTAACGGCCAGACATTACTTCTTCCCTATTCCATCTGCAGAAGCTGGAATTGGCAATCAATAGAATGGAGTTTTCCATCCTGTCCGACTTGTAGGGTGGCCAGACCTCCAGAAATATGCCAGACAGTCCAGAAATGGTGTTTGCCCTCCATCCTCCTCCACCCTCTGGTAGACTTGTCTAATATCTGCCTCGGTCTCCTCTTAGTAGAGCTACCATACCTAAGCCATAAAGATCCAGAAGATGACCACCAGGTGGCAGCAAAGATATATCTCTAATCACTGTTTCCCCACATGAGCAAGCCCAAGGTAAATAGATTTCCATTCCCAGAATTCCCTAGCCAGAGCAGTTAGTACTGAGAGCTCTGGGAACTGAAGTCCACACAACTGGAAGTTGTTCAGGTTGGGAATCACTTGTTGCTGTCTCCTGGTGGTCATCTGGATCTCTGCAGCCCAAATACAGACTTTGCTCCCAACGTCTTGAGGGACCTGGCTTGGAAGTAGCAAGACTGCACAGGGACGGGTGTGAAACTGCCCTGTTGGCCTTCAAGGAGTCAGCATAGTCTGGCAGGACAGAAGTGGGCGAGGCAAAACAAATAGCTGAATCCTGAGGCCTTTCTTCTTTCTCTTTGGGGTGCCAATGCACTGCTGCCACAGCGAAGGAAGAATTAGAATCCAAAAAGAGATTTCTTAAACTGGCTTCATTTGTAGCCGGTTTATGCATGGCAGACAAGCAGCCGAAGGGCCAAATATGCAAAAGTATGTGAATTAACTGGTAGAACGGGTTCAATTTACAATGGCTTGCACTTGAGAAACAGGACAGTTTGTCACAAACTCAAATGGACATCACGTTTATTCCAATCACACTCTTCCTGATATTGGAAATGGCATATTCATTTATTCAGTAATTAATATAAAGTTCTGGAACAGTAGAAATGACACCTAACTTACCTCGTCTATCTCCACATCTTTCTCCTTCCCTTGTTTCTTTGGATGTTGTTCTACTCCTAGGATTGAAAGATGGTATTAAGAAATGCAGTTGAACAAGCTACAGCATCTTAGTTTTACTTGCTCGAGACCTGGTCAACAGCTCTTCTTCCCAGGCACCCATTCTGAAAATGTCATAGGTGGACTTCAGTCATCATGCTAAGTCACAATGTAGTTTGCTTGGTTTAGGCTTAGCTCATTGTGGGAATCCAGCCACTCACATTTGTAAGCCATGGTTTATGGCTTACTTGTGATATGTGTAGATGCAGAAATTACAGTATTTTTATACAGGTGGTCCTCATTTAATGACTTGTTCAGTGACTGTTCAAACTTACAACAGTGCTGAATGGGTGGTAGTTATGACCAGTGCTCGTACTAATATTGGTTACAGTGTCCCCACAGTCACGCGATCGCCATTTGCGACCTTCTTTGCCGGCTTCCTACAAGCCAAGTGAAATAGAAAGCCAGCAAGAGGTTGCAAATGGGGACCATGTGACATCCTCACTTAATGACCTGTGGTGATTTGCTCAATGACAGCAACCAGAAGTGCCAGAATTTCTGTTGCTAAGCTATGCAGTCACGTGACATCACGCTTTACAACCGCATGGCTTAGCGATGGAAATTCTGGTCCGAATTGCTGTCATTCAGTCAAGACTATCTGTATGTTGTTTTCTGTCCTACATGAATATGCAAAGTGGGTTATAATTTAAAATACTCCCCAAAGAAGAAGGAAAGGAAAATTAAACCCAAATAATAAAATAGACCAGTGTTTCTTAACCTCAACAACTTTAAGATGTGTGGACTCCAAGCTGGCTGGGGAACTCTGGGAGTTGGAGTCTACATTTCTTAAAAAGTTGCTGAGGTTGAGAAACACTGGTATATACTATCATTTATTTAACACATCAGGTTAAATAACCCACAGACCAAACCACCTCTTAGAAATCAGATTTAAAGCACTGAACAGTCCTGTTAGAGGTTCTTACAAATGAGCCTCAGCTGTGTGGCATGTTAATTAACACATGTTTTTCAAAATCTGGGCTGTCAGGTAGCTAAGATCTAGCACCTTTGCAAGACTTGAATTCATTGCCATAAACTAAGCAAGGTTGGCTAGATTAAGATCTGCAGCAAGAGTAGATTATAATCAAAAGTAATGGGACTATACAGCTGAATAAGCACACTCACACTTGAAAATAGAAGGGACTATACACCTAAATAAGCATACATATACACACAAATTACACGCTTGCAGATTTGATTAAAGGGTATATATAAATATCCTAAACTGGGGTGCACAAACCAGGGTCTCACTAAAGGTTGTCACTGAATTGTGATTTTTAATGTGACCTAAGTTTAAAAAAAATCCTAAAAATATAAGAACTAATCAGAGTTACTCACTAAATTTTAATTAGCTTCCTATTAAGTCAAATGTAATTTGTGTCTGAGACCCACCCTCTTTGGAATGCAACTTCCAGCCTACTCCTTAAGGCCAGTTGTAGCTATCAGCCCCAGAGAAGTTCTGTCTTAAGTGAACAAAATCAACAGTTTATTCCTCAGGTATATACATTATAATCAGAATAGAAAAACGGATATATTGTCCTATTGAGAGTTGGAAGGCTCTTTACTGTGGCCAGTAAAAGAGAAACAATTGTCGACCCCATAATATTGACTGTGAACGATGCACTGATTTGGACTGTACAAAGCATTATCAGGAACATAAAAAAAGTAAATCAACCTTTATTACAGTTGTAGACCAGCAAAAAGGGGGGGAAATTCTGAAATACTGTACTCACCAACTGAATTCTGAATCTCTTGTGATTTTGACTCCTTTGCAGTCTTACTGGAGCTTAAAAGGGTGACAGAGAAATGCCTCCTAAATACCAGCTTTTTATAAGGTTAATTCAAACAAGAAAAACACAATGTTGTGCTGGATCAGGCATTTAATATGGGGGTTGGAATGAGTAGGATAAAGTATGGCAAAATCAAATAATTTTAGAATCTGAGAGTACCTCAGAGATCATCTAAATCAGCCCCCTGGTTCAGCAAAAAAATCCTCCCAGTATCGGAACTGACTGAGGCCTTTTAACCCCTGCTATCTACAGCTCATGCAGAGGCTTTCATCCCATTCTACTGATCTAACTTTTCTGAAGTAAAAAGAAAAGGTACCATTCTACAGGTAGTCCTCGGCTTACAACCACAATTGGGACCAGAACTTCCATCACTAAGCAAT